ATATAGACGTATCATCTACGTACTGTAAAAGTTTATACTCTTTATTTTTTTTTATATTAAAACACCTTTAATAGTTTTATAATATCTGATCATGATACTAAGGACTTCAGCGCACAATATGAATAGATATGGTGATATCGGGTCACCCTGTCTACATCCTCGTGAAATTGTAAAAAATTCTGAGAAAAAATTATTCTGAATGTCATTGATAATTAGGTTTATCCAAGTTTGGAAAATATTCCCAAAATTAAAAAAGTCTAAAAGTTTTTTTCATAAAGGACCATGAAATTGAATCGAACGCTATTTTGAAATCAATTAGTAACAAAGCTGATGGCTGATTCTCTGTTATATAGTATTGCATCACATCATAGAGGACTCTGGTAGTCTCTCCTATATACCTTCCAGCAATAAATCCAGTTTCACATTTATTAATTAGTTGAATCAAGTATGGTTTGATTTTATTGGCCAAAACACTAGAGAGTAGTTTTGTATGTTGTATTCAGAAGTGATATAGGTCGCCAATTTTCAATAAAATCTCGAGATTTTTCAGTTTTTGGTAAAATCGTGATAATACCCTGTCGTTGGGTGATAGGTAGAATTCCCTTTGCTAATGAATGTTTAAATGATCTCAAAATATATTCCGATAGATCGGACAAGAAACATTTGAAAAAGTTTGCTGAGAAGCCATCAGTGCCAGGGCTACGGTCATTTTTCCAAGGCCTTTAGTAATTCTTCTCGAGTAATATCACCTTCCATCAATTCTGTTTGAGTTTTGTTAAGTTTTGGTATGTCATAGTACTGAAATAACAGATCAAGGTCAACATTTTCCAATTTACTATCTTGACACGTGTAGAGGTTCTCATAAAAACCTTTGATAGATTCTAATATTTGATTTTGATCAGTTATAATTCTATTACCTATATTGTGCTTTGTTACTGTTTTATTAACATAATTTCTCTTTTCCAAGTTACAAAAATAGTTACTAGGGTTTTCACCATCTTCTGTCCATCTAGAGTGTGATCTAATGATTGCCCCCTCTAATTCTTTGGATCTTTAAGTTTCTAGTTCAAGTTCAATTGCATTTAAGGATTCTAGAAAGATATCATTATCAGATTTGTTAAGTAAGGTATATCCTATACTTATTATTTTGCGTTCCCTTTCCTTTTTACAATTTAGCACACTAAATGACATATTTATACGTCTGATTTTCATCAGTAGAACTTCCAAAAATAAATCATCTTCGATTACAAGTTCATGTTGACTGTTGTTCGCAAGGGAACAAAGCGCGAGATTTAAAGACAAAAATAAAGATTCAAATATGATTTATATGAGAAATGAAATAAAATTATAATAACAAAATGTTTTGCTATTAAAATAGTTCCAAATACACCAATATAGAGCGATATAGCAATAGAAATATAATATACAATGTAACATGATTAATTAATTTGACTTAAAGAAAATTTCTTAAAAGAAATGACAAGAGGTGGAGGACTAGACATGCATAAAAATTATGTAATTTATATACCTTAATGTGCTAATGTGTTATTGTAGTTGTGATGGTTAGTAAATAATAAGAAAATTATACGCATATCAGAGGACACCTGCACCACACAATATTAAGCAGAAAGGAATGACTGACAACGCTGTAAATGCGATTGTACCCCAGCGACTACAAAGCCTCCGTAATAAATACTGTAAGCGATTCGGCTATGCGTGTAATCGGTGTTTATGATTAGTTGTATTCGGTGGCTAATAATCAAGTCGCTGCATTTACAAACCGACGTGAAACACAAAGGTGACTATTGCAGTCAAGGTATTAGACGCAGTTCGTAATAGCTTGACATTGTGAAGATGGGCTTCACAAAGCCTTACAGGACTCTACAAAATTGCACATAGACAACAAATTATAACTATCACAGGATTGACTACCGCCAAAATATCTCGAACAAATGTGACCTATAAAAACAGTGGTTATATAAAATACATATACTATAAGCTTACAATAGTTTTGTTTGTAGATATAAGTAGGCTTATATATATGGAGGTATAACGTTGCCAATATTCTCGATTGTGTTGCAGCTTTAAAATACCAATGTCGTAATTACAAACTACATTTGTCAATGCTGCAAAGTACAATTGTCCATGTGTAAAAATGCAAAATGTATAAGTACACCCCAAAATCCCTTGAAATCGTACACGATTGCAGCTAACAATTTACACTTTACATTATGCATTTTGCATTAGACACTTTGCATTATATATTCTGCATTAGGCACTTTGCATTACGCACTTTGCATTATCGAACCTTGCAGAATAGACTTCTACATAATAGAACATATACCTTATATGGAATGATGACGTATACTCATTTGCATACGTAAAAACGGCGGAAATGTACGGAAATTAATAAACATTCGTGAGAAATAAATTCTCCCTAAAGGTCAAGGTCGGTAAGTTACTCTAAAATTTAACTTGACTCAGTCCACTAGAACATTTATGCTAATGATTGTTAGAAATCCTCTTTTTTCCTTTCCTTTTTGGGTTTTTGCATGCCCATTTTTGATTAATTTATGGTCTAGATTTGGAATTTGATAGGCGGAAGGATATTTCTAAAAATAGTCGATATGTGAGCATTCCAAGTCAACTTGATGTTGATATCCGGTAGTGATCTACTTTCATTTTGACTAGTTTTCATCACAGGTGCTTGAGGACAGGATCCTGTATGAGCCCCATATAGTCCCTCCCCCTTATTATTATTATTATCATAAATCTCAGATTTTTCGATATCTATCACTTATTTGTACCATATATATACTAATATACCATATTCATACTCTAAATATGCATGGTTACTATCAACGTGAATTTCTACTATCAACGTGAATTTCTACTTATAAAAATGAAAGGAAAATGAATGGAGTTTTACGTCCTACTCTCTATTTATAGAGCGAAGCGAAAGGTTGCCAACTCCGTTTCAAGAAATTGGGCCAATGGTCGGGAAAAATTGTTTTAAAATCTAATAAAATATCACTTAACGGTCTAATCAACGAGTACTTGCTGTTCCCATATAATTATCCTTATCGAATATCAATATCCAGTCATAATATATTACTGTTTAAACACTTTAAATTAAGTTTTTCGCTGGAAATATTGCTGTTTTTTTGTCTATTCGACCTCCTTCCTTTATTTTTTATTATCAACCTTTATTTAGTGTGAACATATTTACACAAAAAAAAACAGACACTTATGTCAATTTTATTTTACATGTATTTCAGGGTTAAATTACATATGGCAGAACAAGAACTGAAAACGGATCTTATCTCAAGAATCCATCGTATTTGTAATTTGTTGGACTTTCAGACATTTCAGTCTATATACGATGTGAAACATGACATCGAATCAGTTGCTGGAATTTTGTCAGACCTGATGTGTGTGTCGAATGAAAGGAACCAGACCGATCTACAGTTCCTGGAAAATTCCTTGAACTTTTTAGAACATGCTTCTGGTATCGTTGATCGAATTTGTATAAATGAGACCATAGGGCGAAATACAGGAGTTGAAAGTTGTTTCTCAAGGACGTGTAGGAAGGCCCTCATTTATTATTCCGTATGAACAATTAGAGTTCTTGGTTTCAAATAGTTTCAATATCTCCCATATTGCAAACTTATTCCATCTCAGCAAGAGAACGATTTATAGAAGACTCTCAGAGTATGGAATATCACTGATAGAAAGATATAGCCGTTTAACAGATGAAGAATTAGATGAAATAGTTACTGACATATTGAACAATTACCCTAATATTGGATATAGGAGTGTGAGAGGACATTTGCAAAGAAGGGGACACAAAGTTCAGTATTATAGAATACAGGAATCTACGAGGAGAGTAGATTTAGAAGGTGTTCTTTATCGTAGACTGCATTTGAATCCAATCCGCAGAAGACGTTATTCTGTACGAGCCCCAAATTCACTTTGGCATATTGATGGATACCATAAACTGATCAGGTTGGTATACTACCTTCTTTAGTCTCTCAAATAAGAGGCAATATGGTAGGTTTATACTTTTATCTTAAACTAAATTAGAGTACAGAAGGCCTACTATTAAAATAAAGATAAGATATTTCTATCTACTTGGACTGGTTCAATACTACTGGTAAGATACATATTGTGGTTACAAAGATCTCAGTTAAAAATGCAAAAATTAACAAACACGCGTAATTATAGCCAATGCTTCTTTGTTTTTTATTAATTTTTTTTTCATTTCTTTATTTAGTTGGCGTTTAGTCATCCATGGTGGGATTGATGGTTACTCAAGAGTACCAACATATGTCAAAGTTAGCAACAATAATCGTTCAGATACTGTTTTTGAGGCGTTTTTAGAAGCTGTCAGCAATTATGGACCACCACAAAGAGTACGATCTGACAAAGGTGGCGAGAATATCAAAGTTGCTGAATATATGATATCTATCAGAGGAACTGGAAAAGGAAGCCATATTACTGGCAGAAGCATCCATAATCAAAGGTATGTGAAGATCCATGAAAAACTTTTATCTACACAGTTAATATAATACCAATGAATCATTATCTGTTGGTATGATGTGAATGTAGCCCTACTATTTTATTTCCAAAAGATTTTGGACAAATTCCAAATTGGATATGATTTGATAAAGAATGAAGGAGTTCCGACCCTTGATATGTGAAAGAGGCCACAGTTGTCAGAATTTTAACAATTTTGGTGTAGCTTAAATTATGTTAGATGAGTACCATAAAAAACTGAGTTACAGCCCTTGGTTGACATATCATGCTATGCAACAGCTTGTTATATGAATGTGAATGGTGTGCAGAATATTTAAGAACTTGAAAACATCTCATCGATTCAAGCTTGTTGAACTTTTTGTCAGTAGGCAATATAACTGCTTTAGATTTTTTGTAGGATTGAAAGATTCTGGCGAGATGTCTGGACTGGATGTGTTGGTTTTTTCTATACTTTATTTTGTTACATGGAAGAAGAAAATATTCTCCAGCCCACTAATGAAGTTCATTTGGAGGCTCTGCATTATGTTTTTATACCCAGAATACAGAATCATTTAGATGAATTCAGAGAGGCATTCATCAGAAGACCTCTTCGTACAGCCAACCAGAAAACACCTTTACAGATGTGGATTGAGGGTCAAATTATTGATCCATTTGAAAGTTTAACAGAGGTAGTTTTTGTTTGATATATATATAAAAAATTTTGTTATGTCCAATTGTTGGTAGAGGTGGTCAGTAGGTAACCCTTTGCATTGTTCAACCATAGGATCATATGTGACTTAGACACATGGGTATTCCAACTTCTTTTCTTTGAGCAGAGATTGCATTGAATATACAACAGAAATGACACTAAGTTTGAACTTGCTAAAAGGCTGATAATTATGGATATATATAGATTTGAAGGTTTAAATTTTGACCAGGAGTTGTGAACACTAGTACTGAATAGCTCAGTTTCTTAGGCGATGTGTGATTTGTCAAGTGGTTGTTGAATGTGCCCCTTTAATAAATACCCTATGTATTTTATATACTTTAATTTAATTAAAATTTTTATTTTTCATATTTCAGTCTGATGTTCTTTTATATGGTATAAGCCAAGAGGGTTTGATGACCTCAAGTGATGAGTTACATGGAGTCTGTGTAACTGAAGCATCTTTGAGTGAGGAAAACAGACAAGAATTATCAAGACAAATTGATCCTTTGTCATATTCTCATAATCATGGAATCGAGTTATTTTTATCAACAGTTAATTTTATATTGGAAAAGCTTGTTTTTTAATTAATAAAAAACAAACAAAACTTTGGATTGGTTCTCTTTATTATACATCGATCTTAAAAAATGAGAATGACAAAATTAAAAATTCCGATAACTAGTTCAAATCGAATGAAAACTTAACTTTAAAATCTTAAAAAAAACCATACACATTTAATATTAAGAATAATCATAACTAGGTAAGCTTAAAAACATTTTTTAGTATATCTTACTTCTGGTCTTAAAAAATTATTATATTAAAATATTTCTTGAATATGCAATTAATGTTTTACATTTTTTGACAAAATTTTGAAAATTAAATATTAAACATTAAATACAGTCAATGCAGAATTTACTTTGGATCAAATTAACAGAAAGTAAAACTAATTGATGTTGTTCTCTTGAATATCCAGACGTTAATGTCAGAAAAACAATTTGATCAGCTCAAAAAACGGAAGAAACATTCAAGTTTTTTTTTTAGAAAATTGAAAATATTTTATAGAAGTTAACATCGATCTTCAAAAATTAAAAATTCTGATAACTAGTTTAAATCAAATGAAAACTTAACTTTAAAATCTTCAAAAAACCATACACATTTAATATTAAGAATAATCATAACTAGGTAAGCTTAAAAACATTTTTTAGTATATCTTACTTCTGGTCTTAAAAATAAAAATTCTGTGTTAATAAATGGAGTTTATAATTTACACCACACATAAGCTGATCATTTAAAAAGAAAAATGTTTCATGCCATGTCAAACCCCATGGCCCCAACAACTATATAGAACATTGTTTCTTCAAACTTTAAATAGTCTGTTATAGTTTTAAGGTCCGAGAATGAGATTGAAGGTGCACACGTATTTACACTTGTTATTGCAGATGATTGGTGTGAAAAGATGATTAATCCACTATTTATGTTGTGTGGGATTCTTGGGCTACCCAAAAATGCTTGTAGAACGTGGCCAGTATTGATTGTTATTTCATTAACATCATCAGCAATATCATCAATATCTGGATTTAACCATGGGGTTTTAACTTTACTATCTGAAAAGATAACAAAAGTGTGGACTTTATTAAATAGCTTAGTGGGGCTAAAAGCAATCGAATTAAAATAAGATCAAAAGTTTGTTTCCTTTTCTTTTGTGATATTTTTTTTCTCAATAGTGATCTAACAAAATTTACACAATAAGGAATGTTAGATCACTATCCAAGAAAAATATCAGAAAAAAATAAAGAAACAAAACTGTTTAAAAAAGATTAGGCTAACAGTGCTTTTTTTTTCCATGTGGGAACAAATTGACAAGCTTCATCAATAAATGCAAGACAAGATACAGATGCTTTATTGTATTGAAACCTGACTTGTTAAAGTGTGATATTGGATACTCGAGATCCTTATTAGGTTTTGTAACGCAAATCAGTGGACAGAGGGCATGTGCAATTTGACATGAAATGTCACAAATACATATCATTTATATAACTTACTTTCCACTCGTTTAAAAAATTTGTTGAAATTGTAAATTATTTCTTCTTCCTCAGACTTTTCAATAATATCTTGCGAATAACATGGTATATAGAAGTTCTCTATTTTTTCAGAAGATTCAAAGTTATCAAGGCAAAAATAACTTCTTACTAAAGTCTCATTTGGACGCTTTTTTAACAAATCGAGCACACCATGAATTTTTAAACCTTAAAATATACAAAGCATAATTGTAACAATTGGTTGCCATGGAAGATAGTACAGGATGAATAAACTGTCCACTTAACTCAAATCAATCTTTGGAACAATTCAATCTAATTAAAATTTGATTACATTTCGTTTCGGTTATTTTTTGATTGTCGACTCCATGCTCAAAAAATAACTGAAACGAAATGTAATCTAATTTGAATTAGATTGGGAACAAATTTACAGAAATTGTATTTTGTCAATTTTCAATTCAAAGCAGGCTCACACCTTAAATCATTGCTACATGTCTTCACTATAAAAGGATTGGTAAGAGGTTTTCTAGCCTTTTTGTGTGTATCGGGGACACTTCCAACTTCTATTTGAGCCATTCAAAATTTCTGCCTGATGCCCATGGTTTCTGTTATTCTAGAAAAACGAAACTGGATACACATAAAACAGCTAGAAAACCATTTACCAATCCCTTTAAGGGAATGAAATAATATCTGACTTTAATTTCCTTTAATCATGACCGTTACAGAAGTTCTACCTGCCGCTTATTGCAATATCAATAAAGATTTCTAACCTTGTAAGTATTGCATTATTGATGGCATTGCACGATATAACAAAAAATGTGCTTTTATGGCTGTGACTGCTGCTGTTTGTTTGTCATGTTTAAATTTTTATCAAATCCAGTTGTGCAGAGTATATCTAAACAATTGTTAAACACATCTTTGATGGTATCTTCTGTGCAGTTTTCAATCTGCAAAAAAAATATAGTAATAAAAATAGAACAAAACTTTTCTATTGTTCACAGCAAATAATCTGGTCTAAATTTAGTAAATTTTCTACAATATGATAGAGATATTTTCAATATTTGCCAAACTCCTACTGATACCACAGATACCATGTGAAAGCATTACTATTAAAAACTACTGACAAGCAAAGAGACACTCAACCACTGAATCATTAACTAGGAAATATGTATCATAATGGGAAGTTTTTATAATCTAGGTAGTCCATAGAAAACCGAAATCAATTTAATGTGGGCTAAAATGAGCATAGAAGTCCTAATAAAGCAAAAAAAGTTTACCTCTTCTATTGCCGCAATGGCATCTGCTCTCTTCAATTCATTTTTGTCTACCAAACTGAACTGAGGTATTTTATCGAGTAAAATAAAATCGACCAGAAATTGATTAAACCTTCTTGGTCCAGGATGCCCCTCGAGAATAGCAATGCTTGTCATCCTCCCCATGAAGAGGTAATGTTGATCTTCTAACAACTGTGGATTTAATGACAAAACCGAATCCTCGAAAATAGGTGACTCCTTGAACAACAATGACAAAAATTCCCGTGTTAAACCCCCTGCATCAATCCCTTCTTCACCAATAAACCTCACTTTTATAGGTTTGAGCCAATCCTCCTCATTTGCCTCTTCAAACTGGTCCATGGTGGTAGAGTTAAATTTATTCCGAATAACCGATATATTCCAGTTTGTATTCTTTTTCTTTAGTTCCAACCATATATAGTCTAATTCCTCCTTGACAGTTAAAAATGTATTTCTGAAAATACAAAATAGATCTTTTGTGTTTTTCTATAATTTCAATACAGGTAAACCAAATGAATCAAAAATTGTAAAGTCAAACTTGTGATGCAATTACCCCCATATAAGTGGGTTTTTTTTTTTGGACAGGTACCAAATTAAGGACCAAAGACACAAAAAAATCTAATTTGATTTGCTTTAATTTTTAGAGAGAAATTTGTTCAATCTGACGATTCACACCAAGTTTCAATAAAATCAATAAAAATAATTGTGTTGACGAACAATTTTGACGCATTTCACCAAAGTCAAAGGCAATAACTCAAAACCCATTCATCGAAACTACGTCAAATTCAAAGTTGACTGCAATCTTATTATTTTAAAGGATAACACCTGTAGGGAATGACTCAAGATAATCAAGGACAAGGGCAATACCATTCATTGAAAAATCGTCAAATTCGAACTTGAACGAGATACTATCAATATCAATAGCAATGCTCATACCAAGTTTCATTAAAATCGGACAAAAATTGTAGTGTCTAGAGTGGTCACAAGAAAATCAAGGGCAAGGGCAATGAATACGTTCATCGAAAAACCGTCAAATTCGAACAAAACCGAGATATTATCAACATCAATGCTCATACCCAGTTTCGTTGAAATCGATTGAAAAATGTAGGACCGCCGGACCGACGATGGTGATGGCTATAGACATCCACATATTCGTGTTGGTGATAAAAAAAAGCCTATACTTTTACACAATGTATACTCTTACAGAGATGCTGTGTCACTTTCTCCAACAGAGCAGGAAGACGAATGAAATACAATTTGGTCTGTAGGGAATGACTTGAAGCAAATAGGGCATTCCTTTAGAACTGGAACAACATCCTCTCTGCAAGACAAAGTAAAAAACCATATTAGCTTAACCCTGGTCCCAGAGGAGATAACTCTAATCACACTCTGCTGAAATTTGAAATTGATAATATGGGTGAATATCCAATGGCATAAAATACATGTATTTAAATTTTTTCATGACACAATGAGTGTGATACTGTCATATCAACCAACAAATTTATATCTTTTGACTGGTGCATCTACAAATCGCTACATTTGACCAATATACATACCAGCTTTATTATATAATCACAATCTTGTTTATCATTGGGCGAAATACAATTATGTTAAGGTGAGATAAGAATAATTGTGTATTATAGTAATTTAAAAAAAGTTAGTAAAAATGATCAACCAATGAAACTTGGATTTTGTTGTTAAAAGGTAAGATGATTTAAATGATCAAGCCAGGGCTTTAAATTACCATAATTTGGGCACACCCTGAATTCGAGGAGCAGATCGGAAAATATAGGCACAAAGAGCTCCAGAGAAGGTTTTTATTTTCAATAATTTAAACCTTTCTGGGGAGTCATATAATTTCATTTACTGTTACAATCTTTTGGCATATTTAGCTCTGATGTGCTTAAGTAGCATCTCATTTTAATTTTTACTTTTTTCCAATTTGAGACACAGCCAATTTAGGCACACAACCTTACTAGCATGTAATATAAAGCCCTGCTAGCATCTTAGCCTAAATTCATGTTTAGGGCAGTTAAATTTTTTGTGAAAAAGGGTCTAGAACAATAATAACTGTGTGTATGAATAATTGAATAGTTACACTTCATTATCATCACTAAATGGTTTTGAATCCTGAAAAAAATAGTTCTCTGTGACAATCAAGTTTTTTTTTCTTTGAGAGATAGTATGAAATCAATAAATCTTTACAGATTCGGGGGGCATAACAAATTCTCATCCTTGGATATAGAATTGACTCAAATCTTAATCATTAATTACATGAAATAAATACACAAATAGAATCATTGTCATTTCTATGATGACAGATTATTTTTTGTTAAAACAAGGAAAACAAGTTTAATTTCAGTTTTCAATAATGTTTCATGGTTTCAAATTTTTGTTTTCTTTTTATTAACAAACATGCATGTCTCATGAAACAAGCACTAGCTATTAAAGATAAGGCCACCTCCAAAATATAGTTTTAAAATATATAAACAGGGCTTGCAAGCCACGGTAATATACGCCCACTCTGTTCTGTAGAGTGCTCAAAAACAAATTTTGAAGCGTTTCGCAAAGTCAAGGGCAATAACTAAAATAACATTCATCAAAAATACATCAAACTTAAACTTGAAGGAGATCTTATCAATCTCTTTAGTGCTCACAAGAAATGTTGACTGACAGATGGACAGGGGCAATGACAATATACAACCACATATATTCATGTGAGCATATAAAAATAGGACTTAAGCTTGGATACTTCAAGGTAAAAAATATTTATTCATGCCCAACTTTGAAATCATGCAAAATGGTTATTAAACTGCATACCTAATTTTTATCAAAAAATCTGACATAAACTGTGGCCTTCACAATTAAATAACATTTTATTGATTTAGCAAGTGCAGTAACTCTGCAAATATTTGTTGAAATGTACTCTGGATCAAACTCATAAGAGATCTGTGCCCTCTATCACAAAATGATATACAAAAACGTTCTGCCAATAAAATAATTGCTGTGAATTTCAAGGCCTTGTTTTGACATAAGCGGGTAAGTGTAAGTGAACATTTTAAATAGATCCTTACCTCTGCTATACAAGCGAAGTTGCATATAGGCACAGTTACACGTCTTTTCTTTTTTACGACAGGAAGTTCTTCCTGAAAAAGGGTAAGAATTCTTTTATGGTTATTACTTAAAGGTATTTAGACAATACAAAATCTTGAAATCAATTTGGTGTCTAATAATTCCATAAATATATTGTTATTGGGAATTTTTATTTTTTGAAGAGAATATTTTCACAGTAATAAACACATTTTGATTTGTAATCTGATCTAAAAAATTCATGGAAAAAAATGAAATGACATTTACCCCATGCTTCTCTTCAATATGCATCCGTATATTGTTGATTGGAACATCTTCTCCACAATCTAAACATATCTCTGTATGACATTCTCCATCAGACTATAACAAACAGGGATAAATGCTTTAAGTACAAATTATGATTTTCAAAAGTAGAAATAAGGGGTCAACATGTGAACAAGTTCTATTTTATCTGTCAAGGAACAAAATTTCATTTTAAATTGGTAACTATGTAACCATATTTTATCAAAATTTAAAAGCAGCCTTGATCTAGGTTCATGTCTGACTTTCAATGATAATTAAGAATGATTACAGGATGTTCAAAGGGTTGACTGTCATTAAGGCACAAATATTCTAAGCACAAATCAATTAAAAATGGTAATTTAGGCACACCGTCATGTAGACACATATTCATTAAGGCATACTCTTTTAGACACACTATTATTCAGCACTATTCTATTTAGGCACACCTTCAATTAGGAACGTAATTGAATGAGGCACATTAATAAGTCACGTTTACACTATTTATGCATAAATGACTGCATGCCATTCAGAGAGCTATCACAAATGTTATATTTCAATATAAGTAGTACCTATAACATACCTCTTGGCTGGTTATGGGAGATGTGTCTATATTCCTCTGAAGAGGTTTTATGTATATTATTGCCTGGCCAAAATAACATGTCGATAAGAAATTTGAAGTGTAGCCATTCTTTGGAGCTTTAATTATTTCTAAATTGGTTCTGCCAATTGCCTTATGCAAATCGAATGATCCGCATCCAGATAACTTTTCATAATTTAATTCTATTTCTCTTTTGAAATAGTCAGGATCGTCATTTTTGTATAGTGCTATTTTCTTCTCCCCAAGGCCAGCTTCATGTAATTTTTTCTTTAAATGTCTGTCTGGTACAGTTGTCTAAAATGAAAGAATATAAAGTGAATATATAATTTTCAATGACTAAGAATTATGTTAGAACATTTTTTAGGACTATCACATCCTTAGTAATAACTAAGTCTAACCTGAGAGCTATCAGCTAAACACAGAAATCTGTGATTAGATTTCTGACCGGAAGCAATTGTGCTAGTTGCCGTTTTACGGGATTTCTTCCCATATGGAAGAAAAATCTTCCTCAACTCTCCCACCCCTGGATTAACAGTAGGACTAGTAGTGGTAGTTGTTGTTGTCGAACTGGTACTAGAACTAGAAGCTTGAGTAAGGCTTCTCTCCAGTTCGCTGGCTGCCTGTCTGAGGAGATCAGCAGTTCTCCTCAAATCGGACGTGACTTATTTCCTAAAATGATATTAAAATATATAGATTATGACATATTGCCAATTAATAAGTGAATTTTAATAATAAACATAAGTTACTACAAGGTATAAAATAATCAAGGGTGATGTTTAGAACCCTTACATTTTGTAGTCATGTACAATATCTAGTTCGTGTGAATTTTTTTTTTTATCAAACTAGCCTCTATGCAATCTATAATCTAGTTTTCTTTAGATTTTACACCATATAACAATGGTAGGCTACATATTTAAAATCAATGACAACATTTAATACTAAATGAAAACAAGCTCCATGGACATTATAAAGATAGCTTGCCAGGCAAGGTAATATACGCCCACTGGCAGCTTTGATTTTGAATAAAAATATTTAGCAGTACAGTAACAATCACCAGTATGAAATATTCAACCTTCAGTTATACACTTCATTTGAACTCTTTAGGGCGATACTGAATAATATTGAGTATGAGTTACTGCCCTTGTTCTTGAAAATGTGTTCAATCTTTAGCTCGTGAAAACTCTAGAAGACAAATATTCAATCTTCAGCGCGAGAATCATGCCTTCTACAGTTTCTACGAGCTACAAATTGAACTATTTTCAAGAACAAGGGCAATAACTCATACTAAATATTTCAATCTTTCTGATTTTCAATAGGCTTTATCCTTGGGTGATAACAAACACTCAAGCCAAGTTTCAATAAAATCTGTCAAGAATTGTGCCTTCTAGAGTGTTTACAAGCTAAAAATTAACGCGTTTTCAAGAACAAGGGCAGTAACTCATACTAAATATTTTTCAATTTTTCTGATTTCCAAAAGGGTTCATCCTTGGGTGATTACGAACACTAACATAAAGTTTCGTCAAAATCCATCAAGAATTGTACCCTGTAGAGTGATTACGAGCTAAAAATTGAACGTGTTTTCAAGAACAAGGGCAATAATTCATACTAAATATTTTTTGATTTCGCTTATTTTCAATAGGGTTTATCCTTGGGTGATTACGAACACTCATACCAAGTTTCGTTAAAATCCTTCAAGAATTGTGTCTGTAGAGTGTTTATGGGCTAAAAATTGAACGCGTTTGCAAGAACAAGGGCAATAATTCATACTAAATATTTTTCATTTTCGCTGATTTTCAATAGGGTTTATCCTTGGGTGATTACAAACACTCATACCAAGTTTCGTCAAAATCTGTCAAGAATTGTGCCTTCTAGAGTGTTCACGAGCTAAAAATTAACAAGGGCAATAATTCATGCTAAATATTTTTCGATTTCGCTGATTTTCAATAGGGTTTATCCTTGGGTGATTGCGAACACACATACTAAGTTTCGTTAAAATCCGTCAAGAATTGTGCCCTGTAGAGTGTTTACGAGCAATTGTGGACGGACGGACGGACGGACGGACGGACATGGGTGACGACAATATACGCCCCCAATTTCATGTGGGCGTATAAAAAGGTTTATCAATAGGCCTATCTATACCAACCCAAAGGCCAAGACTAGACCATATTTTTTTCAAAGATTAGGCCATTTTTTCTTGTAGCCTTAATACATATTTTAGTTTAGCATTGTTTAAAACCAACAGTAGATGCCTGGTGGACTATGGCTGCCATATTCTACTTACCCTCAGTTTATTTCTTCAAATATTCAATTCAGAAGATCTAGTAAAATAAAAGGCCAAGATCTAAAATATAAAAAAAAAATTCTTTAAATAAAACAAATTCAATTTCAATTTCTTTTTTCATTTTAATTGATTTTAATAATCTAATAATTTTCATATTTCTTAGATGATCCACTGTGACTGTATATTTGTTCCTCATAATAATTATTCCTTCTGGAACAAACATTATTATAATAAATGATCTCAGCAACTCTTATATAATATCAGGGTTAGGGTTAGGGCTAGTAATAATATAATACCAATTATATTAAGTTCCAAATGGAACAATTATTACATAACAAATGTTCTTTGGAACAGTTCTTATAGTGGAACTTATATTTCGTCACACCACTCCTTAAAACACTTACTTATCACCACGTGCTGACGACTGACGCGCCGACGTGGAGTTAGCCTAGTAGACATAGATCTAGACCTTGAAAATAAATACTAGGCCTAGGACCTATCGGCATCACAGAGAAAATAATGTTAAATAGTATTACCATGAGTGTCTTCGAATGCCCACTTTCACAGCCCAATTAACAACTTCAATTAAAAACTATCACGAAATTCAGTCGTGCTATATCCAGTATCTTTTTCCGCCAATGGCAATTTCGTTGAAATTCCTGAGAATATATATCTTAAAATTTCAGAGTAGCTTCCCTTTTTACCGACCTTGAACGTCAGGGAGAATTTATTGCTCGCGTATATTTATTAATTTCCATACATTTCCGCCGGTTTTACGTATGCAAATGAGTATACGTCATCATTCCATATAAGGTATATGTTCTATTATGTAGAAGTCTATTCTGCAAGGTTCGATAATGCAAAGTGCGTAATGCAAAGTGACTAATGCAGAATGTATAATGCAAAGTATCTAATGCAAAATGCATAATGTAAAGTGTAAATTGTTAGCTGCAATCGTGTACGATTTCAAGGGATTTTGGGGTATACTTATACATTTTGCATTTTTACACATGGACAATTGTACTTTGCAGCATTGACAAATGTATTTTGTAATTACGACATTGGTATTTTAAAGCTGCAACACAATCGAGAATATTGGCAACGTTATACCTCCATATATATAAGAGCGACAAAACTGAACTGAGTTTTTAAATTCAAATCCGTACAAGCAAAGCAATTCCGTTCATCCAAAAGTATGTCAAAATCATAACAGTTGTATAGTAGTGAACCCCTCTAAAAAGTAAGCATGTTCTGCTTCGCGTGCCAACCGAATGGAGTATAGTAAAATAATACAGTTTTACAGATGTTGTGGCGATTATCAATGGAGTAGAAAATAGCATACGATACGGATACGATTAGATTTTTCTATTATCTACTATAACTCTAGTACCGCTTCGACTATTTGTACCCTAAGAAACTGTTTACTTTCTTTATTGACCTTGATATGATTTGCTTGACATGTAGGGCATTCATCTGATATTTCTTTATGGTGATTTTATTTAAGTATGTCGCCAGTAAATGGACAGTAGGATGGGTGGGAGAGATTCACAAACTAACAAACTGTTAGAATTGTACGTACAAAAGTAATCGCGTATGTCTCTGTATAAAG